GCTCATCAGTGATAGTGCAGAGCTGGGCTCAGCAATCAGGCTCTAGAATTCATCATCACTCATGGAAGTGAAGACATCGTACCTAGCAAGGAGGCGCAGGGTCTCAGTCACGTGAGCTCCCCACATCAGACTCAGCCACCAGCCTCTCTGGTGTGGTGTGTGGGTCCTTACAGGGGCCTCCTCACTCTGCCCATTCACTTCGTTCATGGTAAATTCTCAGGACTCTCTCTCTCTCTCTCTCTCTCTCTCTCTCTCTCTCTCTCTGTCTCTCTCTTTCTCACACACACACACACACACACAGAGTTTGGCTTTTAAAGTGCTTCCATCTTCACCATCTAAAAAACCTGGCTAAATAGGTTCCAATAGTGCACTATGTTTGAAACCATTTCCTCAGATGCTTCCCAGCTCCTGTGCCAACCAGCAGAAGTCAATGGCTGCCTACAGAGAAAAGTCCCCAAGACCACCATCCTGAGGCACAAAAAGGCCAGCTCCTGCCCAGTGAACTCTGTAACACGCTTTTTACAATGGCACTTCTAATCACCACTTTTTGCTTAGTTACATATAAAGGTGTCAAGCCTTTAGAGATTATATTGCTCAAAATTCTTGGCTGCAAATGTTAGAAGCCTAACTCACAGTAGTCTAGACATTGCTGGCAGAACGGCTCAAGTGGTACAGTACCTGTAAAACAAGCACGAGGTGAGGCAAGCACAAGGCCCTAAGTTCGACCCCCCAGTACCAACAAAAAGAAAAGACAAAAAGTTTTAAAAAGCCAGGCACAATGGCTCAAGGCTGTAATCCAGCTCCTCTGGAAGCAGAGAGATCCAAGATCAGGAAGATTGAAGTTTGAGGCCAGCTCAAACAAAAAATCAAGAGACCCCCATCTTAACCATGGGTGGGCACAGTAGCACACACCTGTTATCTTAATTACGCCAGGAAGCACAGATAGGAAGACTGCAGTCCAGGCTGACGGAGGAATTAAGTGAGACCCTATCTCAAAAATAACCAATGCACCTTTTAGCAGCCCTGTGCCACTTCACCTTTGCTTGTCCCTGCACCAGCCACTCCTGCTGGTCAGCATCATCACTGGGGAGAGGATATGGCCACTTACAAATTCCTCACTGAGGGAGGACTTGCTTCCAGGCAGAGGGTGACCCAGAGGGGAAGTTTCCTGTCCCTGAGGAGTGGAGGAATGAAGAGGGAGGATGGTACCCCTCAGAGAGTGGAGTAGGAGTCAGATGTGAGGACTCCCTCCCTGAAAGCAAGGGCAGAGCCAGTCCCAGGTGGCTCAGGCCTGTAATCCTAGCTACTCAGGAGGCAGAGATCAGGAGGATCATGGTTTGAAGCCAGCCCAGGGAAATAGTTTGTGAGACCCTATCTTGAAAATACCCAATACAAAAAAGGGCTGGTAGAGTGGCTCAAGGTGTAGGCCCCTGAGTTCAAGCACCAGTATGGAAAAAATAAAAAAGCAAGAGCAGGACTCTTCTGCATGAAGATCTCAGGCTAGTCTAGTTCATTCATTCCTCAAACAGAAACGGGAGACCTTGATGGGCTAGGCACCATGGTAGAGCTGGTGAGAAACAAAGGACACAATTCTGCCCTAAGACTTTGCACTCTACTGCAAACTCTTCAACCCAAAGAGAGGGCTGTCCACAGCACCTAGCCTAGCTTGTGAATATCAGGGAAGGCTTCCAAAAGGCAGTAAGGTCCGAGTTGAGACAATAGATAAATAATACCAGGTTTGGTATTTTTGTGGGGGATGGGGCAGTTCAGAGTGCACTTTCCAATCAGAGAACAATCTCTGAACAAAAAGATCAGTGAGTGTATGAAGACAGCAAAGAAAGCCAAGATGCTGGGTGCCAGAGGCTCGCACCTGTAATCCTAGCTACTCAGGAGGATCAAAGTTTGAAGCTGGGCCCAGGAAAATAGTTCAAGAGACCCTATCTTGAAAATACCCAACACAAAACAGGGCTGGCAGAGTGGCTCAAGTCGTAGAGGACCTGCCTAGCAAGCATGAGGCCCTGAGTTCAAACCCCAGCACTGTCAAAAAAAAAAAAAAAGTCAAGATGAAGGAGAGGCAGGCTGGAGCATTGGTACAAGAATATTGAGGGCCAGCATGAGAGCATGGATTTGATCACCTGGGCGATGGAGAGCTATTCTCCCTGGAAAGTGGTGGCCTTTCCAATTTCCCAATTCTGGGATCCCTTGGGCTCCCTGCAGATGTGTGCATGGGGAGAGGCGCACCTCTCACCCCAGTGGGGAGAGCTTGTTGAAGCAGCTGAACCCCCTATAAGTTTAGACCTAAAAAGTAATTTGAGAAACACAGAAAGTCACAAGTGTTGGCAAGGATGTGATTAAACTGGAGCCCCTGTGCACTATGGGTGAGGATGTAAAATGACATAACATTATAAACAGCATAGCAGTTCCTCAAAAAAGAAAAATACTAGCCAGGCACTGGTGGCTCACCCCTGTAATCCTAGCTACTCAGGCTCAAGGCTAGCTACTCAGGAGGCAGAGATCAGGAGGACTGTGGTTCAAAGCCAGCCTGAGCAAATAGTTCTTAAGACCCTATCTCAAAAAAGGGCTGGTGGAGTGGTTCAAGGTGTAAGCCCTGAGTTCAAACCCTAATACCACAGAAAAAAAAATTTAAATACTGCAGAATTACCATATGATTCAGCAAGTCTACTTCTGGGTATATACCAAAAAGAATAGAAAGGAGAGTCCCCAAAAAGTATTTGTGCAACCACGTTCATAGCAACTTTATTCACAATAGCTAAAAGATGGAGAACCTTAAGTTTTAATCAATGAAATGAATAAGGGAAAAGAGTGTACTGGCTATACATACAAAAAATATATTAAGCTCTGTGAACTAGGCCAGTCACAGGCTGGGCATGGTGATGCATGCCTGTAATCCCAGATACTCAGGAGGTGGTAGTAGGAGGATCATAGCATGAGACTAGCTGCAGGCAAAAGCAAGAGACCCAACTTGAAAAATAAAGTAAAAAAGGGCTGGAGGTGAGGCTAATGTGGTAGAGTGCTTGCCTAGCAAGCACAAGGCCCTGAGTTCAAACCCTAGTAATACAAAAAAAAAAAAAAAGGAAAAGAAATAATCTAGTTACAAAAAGACAAATATTGTACAATTCCACTTATTTGAGACACTTAGATAGTCAAAATAGAAAGTAGAATAGAATGGATAGTTCAGATGTTCAAAATGAAGAGTTATGGAGATAAATGGTGGTAATGACTGTACAACATGATAAATGCATTTAACAACACTGAAACATACAATTAAAATGGTTAAGATGGCAAAATTTATGGTTAGGTATATTTTATTACAGCAAAAAAAAATAATAATTGAAAAATGAAAGAATTTGAGAAAACACCTGTAAACAATCCCCTGACATGGAGTACTTACAGAAATTGAGGACAGGCGGTCCTTGTGTCAAGCAAAGAATGAGTGGCCAAGGTAGGAGATGACCTGAGGAGGCTGTGCTCCCCACCATGCTGGCAAACCTGGGGGAGAGGAGCTCCAGGATTGCACAGCCCAATCCCTGAGGGCCTGGGCTGGTAAAAGGACATGCCTTCTCCTGGTTTTTTCTGGGATCTCAGACTCCCCATCTGCAGGACCTGCCAAGGTTCTGGCGTAGAAGGCTGGGGCATGGAGAGTGGCTCAGTTCATCCCTCGGGAGAGCCAGGAGAGCCAGCAGAGCCGCAGAGGCAGAAGGGGTTTCTATTCATTTCCTGGTTCTGAGTGTCCGGTTATCCCACCGCCCGAGGGAAGCCGTTGGCAGGCGGCCGGCTGAGACTACCTGGTTTTCCTGAAGAAGAAAAGGGCCTCCGGAGGAGACCGGTGACTTCCAGAACCTGACATCCATCACACACACACACACACACACACACACACACACACGCGCGCGCGCGCACACACACACACACCCCAACTGTGCCCAGAGGTCACACCCTGCTGGAGGAGGACCGAGTTGCTGAAGAGAGGCTGGGCCTTGGAGGTGCAGGCTCCTGTGGCCTTCGAGACAAGTCAGCGTAGAGGCCTGGTGACCTCTCCTCTCAGCCCGGTGAGGGGACGCCCCGCCGCGCCTCCAGAAGGCCTGGGCCCGCTGTGCTCCAGCTCTCCCGAGGCTCTCTCCGCCCTTAGCCTCTGATCTTCCGCTCGTCTGTCCCTGGCCTTGTCGCTCTGTGAATGTCCCTCTGAATATGTCTGTCTCACTATGCCTGTCCCTGTTTTGTCTCAGCCCTCTCCCGCGCTCATCACAACCCTTAATGCCGTCCATGTCTCCATCTGCATGCCTGCCTTTCTCTATCTCCCTCATATCCTTGTCTCCTTCTCTGTGTCTACCTTGCCCCCATCTCCACCCCCGCCTTTCTCTTGTACACGTTTCGTCCTTGTCTGCATCTGTATACCTGTATCCCTCTTGTCCCCCATCTCCATCACGGTTTCTATCCCTTTCTCTCCTTGTTTGCGCCGCTGACTCCTCTCTGTACCCACGCCCCCTCCCCGTCCCAGTCCCAGGCTCCGTCCTTGTCCTCATCCCCCCTCCAGGGCAGCCTCTGCTGTCCCCGCCGGGATGGGACCTCACTGGGGGCGGGGCTGAGGGGCCGGATCGGAATAACTCGGTTATCAAGACAAATTGAATTAACTTCTTCACACCAGCGCCGCGGGGCCTGCCTCCCCTCGTTTCCGCAGGGCCGCAGGTGGGGAGGCCCGGGAAAGAGGTCGGGACCCTCCGGCTTGGCACGATGTGTAGGGACTGAAGGTCTGGGCCAATTGGGACAGGATGGGAACTCGGGATGGGGTCCCGCGCAGCCCCGCCCTGTACCTCGGAAGCCCTAAGAGGGCGGCAGGGACTCTTTGGGTTGGGGGTCCGGGGTGTCTGGGGGCGGGGTCTAGGCCGTCCAGGCCCCGCCCCCTGAAGCTCGCCCCGCCCCGCCCCCTCCGCGGGGTCCTGCGCGTTAAAAGGCGCGCGGGCTGGCGGGGCTGCACTTGCGTTACACCCGGGCAGAGTGCGGCCGCGACGGGGCGGGCGGACTGTCAGGCGCTCAGAGCCGGTCTCGGGTACTCCGCGCCTGGCGCTCGAACCTCCATCCCGACCTCCGTCCGGCCCGGGACCCCGACCCCAACCCGGCCCAGCCCGGCCCCCGCCCCCGCCCCCCGGGCCGATGGACTACTCCTACCTCAATTCGTACGACTCGTGCGTGGCGGCCATGGAAGCGTCCGCCTACGGCGACTTCGGCGCCTGCAGCCAGCCTGGCGGCTTCCAATACAGCCCCTTGCGGCCTGCCTTCCCCGCAGCGGGGCCGCCTTGCCCCGCGCTCGGCTCCTCCAACTGCGCGCTTGGCGCCCTACGCGACCACCAGCCCGCGCCCTACTCGGCAGGTGAGCGCAGTCCCGACCCAACCCTCCCTCCAAATCCTGCGGGACCCCAGTGCCTTGCCCTACTCTGCAAATGAATGCGATTACCTTATGACCGTCCCCATCCCTGCCCTGGCCAGACCCTCTAACGCCCTGTGAGACCCTCCAGTATACGAGGTTTCTAGACAGGAATGAGCCGCACCCTCATGCCCCTCCCGTTCCTCTTTCTCGCTGCCAAATCTATATCCTGGGCTCTTTGGGTCAAGGAAACAGACACGGGTTCAGACCTGGGCCCCTAAGGCCTTTGCCTCCCCACCTGCAGACTAACCACCAAACCTCTCCATCACCTGTATCTTTGGACCAGGCTCCCAGCTCAGTCCAAGCAGACCCCCTTTTCTTATCACCCCCTTTCCCACATGATGCACGACCCCCTAAGCAAGGATCTTTGCTGCAGCCGAGCTGGTCAGATGGGAACCTTCCTAGAGCCCCAGGCCCCTCCCCTGCCCTGTCGTGGGCCCAAATCTTTCTGCACCGCCAAAACCAGTTACCATAGCCACAGAAATGGGGCCTGGGTCACTAAGTCACTTTAATTTTCGCCCCCAGACTCTCCCAGCTAGAGCCCTGCAGAACCCAGAAGCAGCTCCTGCACCCCCAAGCGCTTTGATCCAAGTCCCTGTCAGAATCCTCAACCTCACTGAGCCTCTCAGACATCCTCATCCCTTCAGTTACCCTGCCCCACCCCATCTCCTTCCCCAATAGAAGACTGGGACTGGTCGGGAGCTAAGTACCTGAATTTGGGTAAATGAGAACCCGGGAGATGTGGCCAGAGACTAGAACAAGGATGGGGAGATTGACTGCCCTGGATGAGAATGGGGACTGGGGAGATGGGAACAGGAAACAGGAAGATAGGCTCCCAAGAAATGAGACTCTGAGACTGTGGGGATAGGGATACAGTACAGTGAGATGGGAACACAAATGGGAAAGTTGGGGACCCCAAGATAAATGGGAACACGGGACTGAAAGATGGAGATAAGAACCAGGTGATGGGGACAGGAATTATAGGAGGCAGGGACCCAAAGAGATTGGAAACAGCAATGAGGGAGACAGAGATAGGAATGCGGTATTTGGAGAAATGAATTAGGGGAGATGGGAACCTGGAAAGATGATGGGACGAAGATGGAGATTAGGGATCCCCAAGAAAACATGGAATCCTAAACCAGGGTGAGACAGGAATGCAGAGACAGTGTCTGTCTATAGGGCAGTGAAGTTTAGGATGGAGTATAGGAGGAGAGTGAGAGGGAGAGGTGGGATGAGATTTAGGGGAGAAGGGACACAGAGAAGGTGTCTGGGGGAGGGGAAGAGAAGAAAGACAAAAAAGAGGAACTTGAGTAGGAAGAATTAGGAAGAATTAAGAACCTTTCTCAATGGGCACAAAGAAAAGAGTGGCCCACACGGGGAAAGTTAAAGAGAGATTGACATGGAAGAAGATGAGGAAGAGGGGAGGGGGACACCTGGAGGAGAATGGGGACTAGGGATATGAGGCAAAGCTGAGAAAATGAGGCCCCCAGAGGAGAGAGATGGGTTGTAGGGCACAGAGGGGACCAAAGCTGTGTACAGACACAACTGAGAAGTGGTGGCAGGGCTGAAGTAGATTCCTTGTACTGATGACACCTGGCAGACATCCAGGGCTAGTGTGGACAGTGAAGGACCTGAAGTCAGGCAGGCGGATGGAGAGACCCTTGTGTGGACACACTGATAACCCCAAGGGAAGGGAGGTAGTGGAACGGCAGGGATGAAGAGAGGAGGAGGGAACAGGGCGCCGGACCAGGGACAAGTCGAGGGACTTGGCTGGAGGATCGGATTCTGGTTTCCTGGTTTCAGGCCCCTGTGGAACCCCAAGTCTTCCTGATCCCAGTCAGCCTTTTACCCTTGCAGTTTCCATCGTCCTGTAGGGACGGACGCTTGGCGGGAGGCCATGAGGAACAAACCTAGGGGAGGAGGGAACCCAATTCCCTCAGCAGTCTGAGCTCGGCTTCTCACGTGCCCCCACCTTCATTGCCCTTGCCCCCCACCCCGGCACACGCCCACAGTGCCCTACAAGTTCTTCCCAGAGCCGTCTGGTCTGCACGAGAAGCGCAAGCAGCGGCGCATCCGCACCACGTTCACGAGCGCACAGCTCAAGGAACTGGAGCGCGTCTTCGCGGAGACCCACTACCCGGACATTTACACGCGGGAGGAACTGGCGCTCAAGATTGACCTCACTGAGGCTCGCGTGCAGGTGCGTATGTGCTTGTGTGTGTATGTGCTTGTGTGTGTGCGCACCCGCGTGGAGAGGGTACGGGAAGTTAGACATCAGGGGCCCAGGGACAGACAGCTGCAGCCTGGAAACAAGGATCTAGGGCCAGTGACCACGGCACAGTCCCGGTGCGGTTGGGCAGTCAGTAAGGCAGCAGGGTCAGGACTTGGAGGCTCTTGGGAGACACAGGCTGCTTAGTTCCCAGTTGTCTCTCCCTTCGATTTCCCCCGTCTCCCTCCTAGAGCCGGAGATTCAGAATTTTACTTGAGAAGCCGGAGGTGAGCCAGTGGGTAGAGGGGGAGCCCGCGGAGGAGTGGGGTCGGGCCAGTCAGCACTTCCAGGTACCAAGCGCTCCAGCTGTGACACCCCCTAGCCCGAGAAGCCTTAAGCTTGGGGGCGGTGCCCAGCCAGAGAGCCGGCCCATCTCGGGTAGTTGTTTAACTGGCCGGTTTTGACCGGAGGCCTGGAAAAAAAGGTTTCCCTAACGTCCCCCAGTCCGCTCTTCACGGCCCTGGGACGCTCCAGGATCAATGCCCCAGCTTCCCAAAAAAGAAATTGAGGAGCAGAGCAGAGGGTGAGGAGCGCTCTCAGAAGACTGGGAGGCAGCGGGCGGGGTCCATGGATGAGCAGATCCTAAGGTCAAAACCCTAAGGACCTACCTGGAGGAAAGGGTGAGTGGGGACAAGAGATCGGAGGCGGAACCCGCCGAGTGGTGGAGGACCGAGGGGCCAACACTCCGAATGCGGTGGACCTCTAGGACTGTTAATGATCCAGGCCGATGCTTTCCGAATCGAGGTTTCACCCCAGGGGCTGCGACCCGGGGCTGACCTTGTTCGTTCTCCGACCTTTGTCCGAGCTGACTGGCCCCTGTGCCCACAGGTCTGGTTCCAGAACCGCCGGGCCAAGTTCCGCAAACAAGAGCGCGCGGCCAGCGCCAAGGGTGCGGCGGGTGCTACAGGCGCCAAAAAGGGCGAGGCGCGCTGCTCGTCCGAGGACGACGACTCCAAGGAGTCCACGTGCAGCCCCACACCCGACAGCACCGCATCGCTGCCGCCGCCGCCCGCGCCCAGCCTGGCCAGCCCGCGCCTGAGTCCCAGCCCGCTGCCCGCCGCGCTGGGCTCCGGGCCTGGGCCCGGGCCGGGGCCACAGCCGCTCAAAGGGGCATTGTGGGCCGGTGTGGCGGGCGGTGGGGGCGGCGGGCCGGGTGCAGGCGCGGCGGAGCTACTTAAGGCCTGGCAGCCGGCAGAGCCTGGGCCCGGGCCTTTCTCGGGAGTTCTGTCCTCCTTTCACAGGAAGCCCGGCCCCGCCCTGAAGACCAATCTCTTCTAGCCGCCGGCCTCCGGAGGCTCCGAGCCTGCCCCCAGAGACACCCGTGCCCCTGCAGGACCTGACAGCCCCCCCCATCCCGGCCGTCTGCCTGGAAACCCCCCACCTGTCCCCCTCCCCACGGTGTCTGATCCCTAGGTGTGCCATCCCCGGTGTTGGAAACCAAGTCACAGCCAGTCGTCCTCATCCACCCGCACCCAGAAGAGAACAGCACTTTTCACCAGGAACCCCTCCAGGAGAGCTGAGAGCCCCTTAGAGGTTGGCTTTCTTTGGAGCCAGGATCAAATAATGTCTTTAACACAGTGCTCAAACCTGAGGGTCCAAAAGGAGAAGCACCACTGCAGCTAGCTGGGTCACTCACTCCTAACCTCAATGACCATGAGTGCCCACGTCCCCACACCTATATCCCACCCTCATTGACCCCCACACCATGCAAAGGCTGGCATAATCAGCGGCCTGAAGGGCCCACCACTCATTACTAAGAGTTCCCCCCATCCCTAGACCAGAGGGTGAACTTGTTAGAGGGGGAGGCACTGCCCTGGGAAGGGGATAGAGAGGTTTTTCCTTTTCCTTGTTTTGTTTTCTTTGAAAAACTTGTAATTTATTAAGGTGATTTTGCTCTATCCAAATAAAACTTAATTTATTGAAGACATCGAACCCTTCTGAGTGTCCAGGATGGGAATAGACTGCTTGCAAGAATCCTGTCCCCGGCTGTGGTTGCGACCAACGAGGAAATGTCCCCCTCTACGGTTGCCGCACATCCCCAGCACAGGGCGGCATGGACCAGGAGACAGAACTGAGCAAACTGGCACCTCATTGTCCGAAGTCCTGTCCCTCACTGACCCCAATAATATTAAGGTGCCCTCCCTTCCCAAACCCACACACACACACAAAAAAACTTAAATTAACCCCAGCCCAATCCTGGGGCTCTTCCTTCATTTCCGGTCAGATGCCGCTCCCTCCTCCCACATAGCAGTTGGGAAGGAGTCCTAGAGGACCTCTTCTTCCATGGTTTAGGCCTGAGGGAGGGCAGCAGAAACAGCGGAGCTGGTGGCCCAGATTGTACCCCGAGTGGAGAGGTTCGCACCAGGCTACTGAACAGCCCCAGGCCTAAAAAGTGGGGAGGCAGGATGTACTGATTAGGGCATTCCAAATAATTGGGCAGTAGGGAACGAAGATCCCCAATAAATAGGCAGAGATGGACTGCCCCTCGCCCCTCCTAACTTTTCAACCGGGACTCCGCTGGACCTTCACAGAGGGGAGGAAGCACTGAATTTGCAGCTTCGTGGAGCCTCTGCGATCACTTGCTGAGCTGCAGGGTGTCCAGAAGGAGGCGCTTGTGAGCCGGGTCCTGCACCCCCGCCTCCTCCAGGTCCTCCTCGGTGATATCACTGTGGGAGCGAGAGGCTTGGAGATGAACTAGAAGGTCTAGAAGGTCCAGAAAAGCCCATAGCCCCGTCCTGAGGCCAGATACCCACCCTATCCACCTCCGGCCCCGCCCCCACCTGAGAAACTCCAGGTCGTCCCAGCCATTGTGCACCAGGCCCTCCTCATAGCGCTCCAAGCCGATGGCCCGCAGCCAGGCACCCATGCCCGCCTCGCCCAGCCCGCTGGCCCGCCCGCCCTGCGGGCACGGAGCCTGAAGGGAATAGGGGATGTTAGCGGAGCACTGAGCACAAAAACACCAACAAACCGTCACATTCTACCCTTGCTCTGGGGGGATAGGTGGCAAGGAAGGAAGAGTAGGACTGATTCATGTGTCCTCTAAGCCACCAGTGTGCAGCTCAGGGCAGAGGGAACACCACTGGATGAAGTGGGCAATTGCCCCCACCCCAGTACACACAGTCAGCTAGCCCTGGTCCACATACCTCCTCTGCCAGGTCTTCCTGGATGCTTTCTCTGATCCGGGGTGGAGGGAAGCTGAGGGGCCGGCCATAGTCAGAGGGCAGTCCTCGGGGTGGCTGCAGCTCCAGGGGGCTTGGAAGTAGTGCTGAGCGTCCAGGCCCAGCAGAAGCATAATCCACCTCACTGAGTGTTTTCGCCATCTGTAGTACTGAGCAAGACCGGTCATCCCCACTTGCTACCTCCCCAAGGAAAGTGCCGGCAGGTGAAGAGCCTGGGGGTAACGGAGGCCGTGGATGGACCTTGGGAGGCGGTGGGCCACGTGTCTCAACTCCACTACGGCCCCGGACCACTGGCACTGACAAAGGATCCAGGCTGGGGGGCAGGCAAATAGCAGAGTCTGGCAGTGGTGGGGGTGGGAAATCTGGAGGGGGCAGTGTGCCCCCAGAGTCCTCATCTGATGAGCTCCCCTCTCCCACACGAGGGGGCCGCTGGCGTCCAAGCTGTGGAGCAGGCACTGTGATGGCCACTTTGTTCTTGGTGGCAGGTGGGACAGGGGCCCTGGCAGGCGAGGGTGGCTCCAGGGGGAGCAGCTGGTGTGGGACTCCTTCAAGGACATAGTAGGCAGGGTTATTGAAGCTGTTCTTGGGTGGAGGAGATGCCACCCCTTCCGGCTCAGGAGCCCCCTCTGGCTTCAACCTGGTTTGGGAACAGAATAATTAAGTCAAGATTCAGAAACTGAAGGTGAAGGTAACAGATGCAGGGGAGAGAACCGAGTGAGGTAAGGCAGACTTGCACGTGACCGTGAGTACATCGCTTGTCCTTCTCACCCTCTCTAAAGTTGAGGCATCGATGCTGAAGGCATAATCCTAGACTCCCTGGCCTCACTTGCTCAGATTCTCAAATTTTCACGACTTTGTAACTGTGAGTCCTGAGCTCAAATGGATGAAAGCAGAGGCACCAAAAGGCAGGAAGATAAAGGCCACTGATGAGAGACAGCAGAGCTTTGGAAAGCCTCCCAAAGCATCTGAGGTCTAGCTGCTGCAGAATCTTACTCAAGGTTTGGCTTTTTACTCAAGCTTGAGGACAGAACCAAGATAAATGAGAACAGAGGAAGCTGAGTGAAAAAGCATCACTACCTAGGAGTTTTTATTTAAGTTCAAGAGACAACTGGAAAGCATTACAAAGCAAGCCTGGCTTTTCCAGAGTTTGAATCACAGAACACTAGTTCTACAGGACATAATAGTTATTATGTGGGAAAGAAGTTTCCTGGTCCATTAAGTTTGAGAAACTATATTTACTGGCATTGAAAAGAAATTTCCTCTCTGTTCACATACTTGGAGCTTGTACACTGGAAAGATTTAAGAAAGAACCTAGCAAGAAGCAAGTCCCAAACTCTTTTGACCACAAACCCATGGAGCCTTTTATATAGCAGAGCCCCACAGCATGTATCCCGGGAAATCCTGTGCTGAGCCTGCACCTTCTACAAACAGAGGGTTCAAACAGGGTCTGCTTACCTACAGGCAGCTGTTCTAGAACCAATTTTGTTTGAGACAGAGTCTTGCTATGTAGTCCAGGCTAGCCTCAAACTTGTGATCCTTCTGGCTCTGCCTCCCAGTGCTGGAATCACAGGCATGCACCACATGCCCAGCTCTAGAATCAACTTCTACATCCACTTTTTAAGACAGAATTGGGAGGAAAGGCTGAGTGTGCTCACTGACTCAAGAGTCGCACCTAAGGGAGTCCTGGCTGGCCAGTTGCCACAGGGTGGCAAAGTACTTAAATAGCAAACAATCGAGCGGAGTGGGTGGTAACGGAGGGGGTGGGGGTGGGGGGGGAAATGACCCAAGTATTGTATGCACATATGAATAATAAAAATTAAAAAAAAATAGCAAACAATCCCTAGACTGGCCCTGAGAGCCAAACACAGTGATGGACAGAGTGGGGGGAAGGGATGACAGGTTGCTCCTCTCACCTGGGATTCAAGGGCTCCTCCCGGAGAGCTGCTCGGGGTGGAGCTGGAGGCCTCCCAGTTGGTGGTGGTTTCTCTGGCTCTTCAAACAACTTGGACAGTGGACAAGAGGCCTCTGTAGAGGCTGGTTTGCGGTTCCCTGATCTGCCATGGTGCACAGGAGAGGGGAAATGAAGTAGGGATGACCAGGAGCCCCCAGGCACCCCTTCGTGTGACTTCCAACACAGCAGTAGCTCACCTGCCCTCATGGCTGCCTCGGGACACAGAGGGGGCTTTGCCCTTTGCTCCCTCATCCTTATCAATGCTGATCCACTCTGGGGAGCAGAGAGAAGGGAGACTCAAGAGACAACCTGAGGTCCTGGATCCCAGAGATATCCACTGAGCCTGCCAGCCCCTTCCCAACTATTCCTCAGGGCATGTCCACTCCCAGCTACCCTTGTTGAACCTCCCAGTATCCTGGGATCCAACATGCTGTCCACCCTTGGTCTTTCCCCTCCTCCACCTATCCACACCACCCTATCCCATGCCCATACCCTCCCAATGGAGCCCCCACCATAGAGCCGCTCACGGGTGCCCAGACGCTCGGTGGGCACCCGCACCTTCATGGAACCACGGATGTTGCCAGTCTCCTCCCCACGATGCGACAGGAAGGTCAGGAACTGCTGGGCTGTGCTGCCAATCATGGATTTGAGCGCAACCACGCACTCCCCTAAGGGGCAGATGCAACACACCAGCAAATTGCCAAACTATTTTAGGTCTTTGCCTAGTTTCTTGTACCCTTAGGCACCTCTTGCTCCTCACCATAGGATTCATAGCCGTCCATAGACTTGACTGTGAGCAGGAGGTGTTGGTCCTGCAGGTATTCGATATCAGCCAGAATTGGCTTGAGCTTGGGAACGAGAGAGGTCCAGTGAGGAATGAAGTCCCAACCACACCTTGTGCCCCTCTCACATGCCGTCCCTGCCACCTCTCATCCCGCCTCAGGTTGGCCACATTCATTCACTTTAAGGCAAAGTTCCCAAACCCTTAATGTGTAAGACACAGCTTTGCATGGGCCTGCACAGCACTTAATAGCTCTATAATTAATTTTTTTGTGTTCTCAATACAGGACTTGATATTTGGCAATGGCTCAATCAGCATTTATTATTATTATTATTTTGTTGCTACTGGGGTTTGAAGAAGGCGGGGCTTCGCCCTTGCTAGGCAGGTTCTCTACCACTTGAGCCATGTCCCCAGTCCTTTTTGCTTTGGTTATTTTTGAAATAGGGGCTTACATTTATGCTGGGGCCATCTGAACTCCAATCCTATTTCCCATGGAGCTAGAATGACAGGTACATGCCACCACACCCAGCTTTTATTAGTTGAGATGGGGGTCTCAAGAACTTTTTGCCCAGGCTGACCTCAAATTGCAATTCTCCCGATCTCTACCTCCTGAGTGCCTATGATTTCAGGTTTGAGCCACTGTACCTAACTAAGAAATATTTATTGAACAAATGAACAAATTGCAATTTGATTCCATACTTCCTAAATATTCTTATCTTGTTGGTTCATATGTATGAGCAC